TGGCAGGAGGGGGGGGAGGAGGGGGGAGGGGAAGACAAGTTGGTTATACAGATACAGGTTACATGTGAGGAAGATTACAACGACCTTATCAGTTTAGAAGTGGCATGCGTTAAAAAAAAAATCATGTTTTTGAGACCTTCTAAGATTGCCTAAAACCTTTTGATGAGTGTGGGTTGATCCATTTCTTGCACGGTGGTGCTATTAAAGTCCCACTTTTCCAAAATGGTCACTTTGAGGCTCCAACAGACGAGATGAGCAGCAGCTCCCAAAAGCTTCTGCCTTTTAATAAAACCTGTTCATTGGAAAAGGGGCTTCCAGACCCCTTCCCCTAATTTGCTTGAGAGTATGCAACCATATTTACAGGATGACCAATTTGTGAATGTCTTTTGTGGCCCATTCTCTATCCCATCACCTGAAGCCTCCTGGCATCAGAAGAGAAGGAAACATCATAGGGTGGGTGATAGAAACATAGCACTGGAAAGTGTTGACTTTCTGCTTAAGATGAACCCAAATTAAACCAGCCCAAACAGAAGGTTGTCCAACTTATATTCAGACACAACCAGAAATGGGTATCCTGTTTTTCCCTTGGTGGCTGTTCAACTGCCCTTAAGGATTGAAAAGATTTCCTAACATTCAACTGCATTTCTGTAATGTCTTCTGCTCTGTAACAACAAAGACCTTGACCTTCTCCTTCTGTGGAATAACTTCTTAGGACTTTAAAGTGTCCTATCATATCTTCCCTCAGTCATCTTTTCCTCCATGCTAACCATTCCTGGTTCCTCGGTCTCTCATAATGCTTAATTTCCTAACTCTGTCCAGGAGTTTTTCTGAATCCTTATTGGCGCCAGAAGTGGATTTGATGTAGAGAACCTAATCAATGCAGAATATAATGAAACTATCACTTCTCATACTTGGAAACCATACCACTCAGGGGCATCTGCAGGAGGGTGTCAAAACCATCTTGATGCTCATTTTGGTGCAATATTAAATTGCACTTGCCTTTTTAGCAGCCACATCACACTACTGATTTATACGTTTTCACCCTGGTGATTAAATATGCTTTCAAAATCCTTTTCAGAACACCAGCCATGGACTCCAGTTCCACCCCAGTCTGTTTGCCTTGTTTTTTGTAAGTGAAGAACTTTGCATTTGACCATGTCAAACTCCATTCCTTCATTTTCAGCTCATTTTTCTAGCCTTTTAAGACAATTCTGAATTCAGTTTCCTCTGCTAGAGTATTAATCAGGGGCATCTTCAGGGGGTGGGGTGAGTCAAAAAAATCAGAATGGAGCCATGATGGCACAATTGAAGCCACACCCCTTATTTGCAGGTGCTTACATGCGTGACACATGACAAAACAAGGATGGGGCTTTGTTTGCATGGTCATGGCTCCTATCCTGACTTTTTTGACCTTCCCTTTTAGGGCGCCCCTGGTATGCATAATTCTCCCCGACCCTAAGGAGCTTCAGAAAGAGCTTTTGGCACGTCCTGGCCCAAGGGGTGGAGGTGGTTTTTGCAGAATCCCAGAGACAATCTAAGCAGGGGAGGCAAGAGAAGGCCAGACCAGTTTGAAAAGAAGCATCTTTTCCCCGTCAGCAAACAATGTACCACACTGTAAACGGACCATCTAGTACAGAGGGTCAAAAATTAAATAAGAATCAGTGTTGGGCCAAATGACAGATGTAGCATTAAAACAAAACGACAAAAAGTTCTATAAGACATTATGTAGCTGTTTCTCCCTACGACTCCCCAACAGATGCTGATTTTTTTTTGAGAGTAATAAATACAAAACTCTTGTCTGCAGACTTTAATTATTCCAGTGACATGCCTTAACGTGCAGTGATATTGGACCCAGGTTTCCCAAGACATTAAATATGCTACGAATTTACTCCAAATGCTTTAATTGTCTTTTTTAGGATGATGAAATGAGATTGTATCATAAGGCCATTATCATTTTTTCCCTTCTGTGTGGCTGATTTCTGCTCAACTTACAGTTGTAACCCCCACCCCACCACCTGCGATGTTAGAGAGAGACAGCTGCACAAGATTGGCTGTATAAAATCACCATTTACAGCTGTGCTTTTCACTATTTTCATTAATAGGGAGAAATGATTCTCTTGTACATTTCAGGAGCATCTGTGAAGGGGTCAAAAATGTCAAGATGGTGGGTCTTCAATGACACAGTCACACCTACCATCTTGACATTTTTGACACACACACCCCTGGATGTCTCTGCACAGCTGGTATCTTATTCCTACAAGGAATGACAGATACATTTGGGTCAGGGAATCAGCCGGTTGCGTCTATTGGTTTATAGTTCAGGGCACAGCATGTATGAATTGTTTGAAGACAACCACTGAAATAATTACCAGCAAAGGGAGATATAATAGGAGGTGCCAGTCTGGCCACTGAAGGAAAGAGAAGAAGGCTGTTCTCTTCCTTCCTTCTTTCAAGTATCAAATTAACCAAGGAAGTCATAGTGAAATAAAGATCTGTCTCCCACTCTAAAGGTCCTTCTTTTTAAACCAGGGTTAATTGCCAAGACTTAGTCCTTTACCCAGGACTTAATTCTGGATAAAAATGCTGAACTGGTCTGAGTTGCTATGAGATGAGAGACACCTACTCCTTGCCATGGTATGAAGACACCCCACTAACCATTTGGAGAGGGCATGTTCTCATGATGTTGCCTTCATCTCACTGTCAACCTGCTGAAGCAGCCCAAAGTTGGCTTAGATGTTCTGTTGTGGAAGTGGTGTTTTCCCTCTTATCCTGGCACAAGATCTCCCACGTGGACAATCTAGAGTGCTTGGAGAAGAAACCTTGTTCATTTCCAGTTGGCTCTGCAAGTCTGCTGTGAGAACACCCCCTTCCAGCGAGTCACTGGACTATGGGCCTCTTCTGCATTGTTTGCTTGGCTACAGAGGAGACCAGAACACCAGGTTCTGCTACTTTATTCACTCTATTTTAGAGGGAATGGTCACTGCTTTGGGCAAGAGTTGAAATAGCCAAGACAGCCCACAACTTAACACCTCTTCCATGCACAGCAACCCTCTGCCTCTGCAACATTCACCTTAGCTGCTGCACCCGGCTGCACCAATCTGAGCAGACACTGGATGGCAAGCAGAGAGGTTGAAAACTCTTTGCTGGTGGACAGGGTCATAATCTTTTGGCAAAAAGAAAGAGAGAGAGAGAGAGAGGGAAAAAAAATTGGATGGAGCATCTAAGTGTCCCTGCACCACCCTGGTATGTGTTCAGTACTGGCACTGATGGCAGCTTTTCCTACCGTTGCTGAAGTTGGATGGGAATGGAGTTTCAACTGTGGAAATGACCCATGATTGTCCCTTCAGCATTGCATGTTGGAGCAGTATGGACAGCAGCACAACACAACTCTGGATGGTCATTAATGGCTCATGGTGGGGAATCGATGCCAACATGATCTCCTCCCCACCAGGGAATGGGACCAAAGGACAGCGAAGGAGATGTATGGATGAGGCATATTTGACTTTCAGATTCCCCTCCGTGCAGCCCAGACTGCAAACAGTTAACCTAAGGAACAGATTGAAGTGCTCTGATGAATAGCGTTCATCAGAAAGAAAATCAGGGTTGCAACGCCAGCATTTCACTTTGGATTGAGATACCCATACATAGGCCATTTAAGGCGGCAAAGCTCTTATCCATCCCATTTCTTTCTGCTTTTTCCATGTGAAGAGCGAGGATCCTGTCTCTTTTATGAAGGGTGGGGGGCAATTTGCATCTGTATTTTGAAAACCATCATTCCTAGCAGTGAAAAGTAACTGCTCCAAAAACCTGGCTCTGAGAAAGAGAGCCAGTTCTCTCTATGTCTGCCTGGCAACTCCACAGTACAGGCTAATTTTATTTCCGTCTTTTGTTGTTGCCTTATGCTTTATAGCAGCAAACCTACAAGGGCGTTTGGGCTGATAGAGAGGGACAGGTCTAAAGTCACCCAATGAACTCTGTGGTCAAAACGGGCTTTGGAATCTCAGTTTCTCAATCCTGGATTGGACCCTTTCATGACTATTCCACCCTGCCCAGTGAGATAGTAATTAACTATATAGAACAATTAGGTATAATTGCATTTAATTGCATTGTATTTATTATTTTTACGTAGGTGTGGATAACTAGTGGCATAAACACAGATTACTAGCATAAAGTGGGGGCTTTTGGTTGTTTGGGGCAAAGGGGCTTCAGTTTCCAAAGCTGCTTTGCAAAAGGAATGGACATTATTGGAATGCTCTCTGTTGGTACTTTATCAACTTTCTCTCTTAACTTCTTCTTTGGTGCATCGATCGTACAACCACTTTTGTTCCTGTTGAGCCTTCTTCAAGTTTTCCTGTACTAATTGTTTGTATTGTTCTAACTTTTGTCTTTGGGCCAGAATATACTCTGCCATATTTTTAGGACCTTAGTTAAGATGACTGTCAAAAAATTGAAAGTCATCTTAATTGTCTGGGTTGGACAGAAAGTCGGGAGTCAAGTCAAGAAGTAAAATAAAATATAAAACAATGCCTGAGCAGGGTTCCTTTATCTTATAATGAATTATAATGAAAGCGTATTTTTAGTGAATCAGTAATTTTTTAAAATCATGGAGAAAATCTATCTAGGTGGTTGCTAGGAGTCAAAAATGACTTGATGTCACATAATCAATCAGTCAAGGTTTTAAAAACTCTAATGCCCTTCTCAAATAGGTTTCCTTTACTTTCAGAGTCCTTCCAAGTTGTGGTGACAGGAAATGGCTTCCGACATGCCCGTAACGTGGATCGAGTCCTCTGCAGCTTCAGAATCAATGAGACGGTCACGCTCAGTAAGTACCGTACTCTCCTATCTATCAATAAATGTTGCACCTCTAATGATTTTATTTACTTTTAGTGATTTTTTGAGAGTATTATTAGGGACAATAAAAACAAAATTGACACCACCAACAACGTGATAGCGATGGTGGTGATGATTCCAGTCCTAATAATGGTTGTGTTGCATTGTTCATTTGTGTGGAGTTCGCAGCGTTGACTGAAAATCCTTGCAGGAAGAGCGAGTGCTCTGGCTGGGCTTTGCCCACATGGTCCATGCAAGTGTCCTTGACACAGAGAAGAAGATTGGTAGGGATCCAGGGATGTCCTCGGGGTATGGTCAAAAAGGTCATATGGAGGTGATGTTCCACATGTGACACACGTAAGAATAGGTAGAGCTTCAGTCTCACTGTTGGAGTCACCCTCCTGACTTTTTTGGCCGCACCCTGCTGACAGCTCAGGAGCTCACCTGTTGGCAAGCCTGCTTGATAAGATTGCTGATAATGGAGATGTTGGTATTTGGCTCAGCTGCCTTCTCCCTTGTTGCAGCTGGGAACAAGGACATGGAGACATTCTTCTTTTTCTGTATCTTTTTGCCTTTGCTCCTACATATTGGGCTGGGTTCACACAACACAGTGCTTTCTAAACCTAGGTCAATAAAGCACCATTCATGGGTTCATAGAATATGTTCTTCTGTGGCAAGAGAATCACTCTTAAGTTAATGCTTTAGTTAATGGCCTGATTTGTTCAACATGCTCCAGACAATGACTGGGGTCCCGTAACACGTTGACCTGCCACTTATTCAACTGCACGTTGGCCTAGACTATTACATGGTGAAAACTCAGCTTTGCTGTTGGAGGAAGCAGGTTAAGAACAAAGCTACGAACAAAAGCAGGAGATTGTATTAGTGATGGAGTCTGTCCAATGATTCTATGTTTGTGTCCACATCCCATATGAAAGACCAGCAATGGTATTAACAAGTGCATTTGATTTCCTTAGTCTTGGGTATCCTGCCACACACACCTACACCAGGAATCAGCATATCCTGCAAGTCCTGCATAGGATGGGCCAAAGCAGGACGTGCCCATGCCAGCCTGCACAGACTGGACATGACAGGCTGTTTAGCTGATTTGTACCCAACATGAAGTTCTTGAAAGCCCTTTGGAAAGGTGAAATGTCCACCAGGCTTGCTGAGTTCCTGACAGTCTGAAAGTGACCTTCTTTCTATGTATAATTTTGACTAAAGAAGTTTTCCCACAGAGTAAAAAACAATACAAATGTTCAGTTAAAGAGAAATGGAGTGCAATAGAAGTAATAGAAGAATGAAAAAGAAATATAGAAAAATACGTAGAAAAGAAGGAAAAAGGAAAAAGGAAAAAGGAAGAATAATAAAGGAGGTGATCTTCTTAAGCTGAGTAAGGAGAGCAGAAGCTTTCGCTCACGGTTATGGGTGGTTCGGTACAGCCCCACTAGATTCTCTTGAGGGTGCAACAGTCCAGTGTCATAGCCGTTGGCAGCAGGCAAGCCATTCTTTGCTGCAGGAAGTGTGCAGGGCATTTTGACAAGTTAATGAGTAAGGTAATTAATTACTGGTAATTAATTAAGTTTGAAGTCATCTAAAGTGTTCCTTCTTTTTTTAAAAAGAACCAGCCCTTTGCTGGTCCTTCTGCCAGGAATCCTTCCCAGAACCATTCATCTCACCTCTTTTCTTGCAATTCACAAACTTCACCTTCTCCATGATCCCAGGAGCATTTGCGCCACACATAAAAAAGGGGCAGAGCTTTGTTTGCACGGCCATGGCCGCCATCTTGATGTTTTTAACACACACACACACACACACCCTCCCACAGACACTGCTGCTTTCTGTTGTGATCCTTTCTCTTTTAGGATCCTGTTGGGCTCTACAAATTGCAATGGAGCCAGTTACAAAATGTTAATGGAGGGGGCACTCAGCCATGCTGAGCTGTTGAAATGTGTACATCATAACAGTATATTGGAAACCAGAAGGCAAGTCTTTGCTTCTTACTGTTCCCATCTAGCAAGATAAGCGTGCATTAAATGTCTTTTTTTCTAAAGTAAGTTGCAGCTTGCCACAGGGATCAAAACAGTCAAGATGGCAGACATAACCATGTGATCAAAGCCTTTTGTGTGTGTGTGTCATGACAAGCGAAACAGGAATGAGTCTCTGATTGCATGGTGTGGCTGCTGCCATCTTGACCTTTTTGTGCACCCTGCACACAACCCTAACTTGCCAATGTGTCAACGATGGTTCTCCAAAGTGATGTGGTTCCCAGTGAGGAAATGGAAGTGCAAGTGTGCATCAGCAGACCTTCCTGAAACCTTCATTTTTAATCTGACATCCAAATTAAGCTGTTCAGTTAAAGTCTCGGACAGAGTTTCTCAACCTCAGCAACTTTAAGATGTGTGGACTTCAACTCCCAGAATTCCCCAGTCCTAAAACTAACAACACCTCCTATGAAAATAGCACAAAAATACAGCAGAATAAAAAATAGCCAATCATGAGCAAGCAGCTTTCTCCAGTCAAATACAAAAGGCCCACACATGTTCCTGTGCAGAATAGAAAAGATTGTGTCCAGTTCTGCAAGTAGATTGACCCTCATGATATGCCCAATGTGTCCTGAACATTTGGAGACTGACCTCAGAAGAAAGTCCTGGCGAATAGAAGGGGTAGAAATGGAAGCAGTAACAGACTTCATTTATTTGGGCTCCA